ATTCTCCTACTGCCCACACTGTGGCCTGTGCCAGAAGGAGTGTTTCGTGGATGATGAACCATTGGCCAACAAGAGCCTGAAGACTGGCTCTCTAAGGTCCTTACTTAGTATAATACAAGTGGTACGGTGAATGGACAGAGGACAGACTCTGGAGTCGGATAATTCAGGGTCTGAATCCAACTCTTGTATTTCTTTTTTTTTTGGCTCTGAGCTATTGAGCAAGTTATTTAGCAGCACTGTACTTCAATTTGTAAAATGAGGATAATTACTCCTGCTTCTTACTGCTACAAAGACTAAATAAATAAATAACACATGTGGAAACCTCAGGCATCCGGGTAGTTCAATCAGCAAGATTTCCTTCCTCCTTACCCTCTTGAATCATGTTACCTTTCTCTTTACCCTCTTGATTCACCTTTATTCAAGGTGATAAATACTCACCAGAAAAAAGGAAAGAGCTCTTGACCACAGTCAGGATTCCCAAGTTTGGTCCAAACTCTGCCTTACAAATGCCACCAGCTTCTTCGTAGGGCTGTAGGGAGGATCAAATAAGGTCGTGAATGTGAAGGCTTTTGAAAATGGCTTTATAACAACAAGGCACTATCATCTGTGGTCTGTCGACATCTGCTCTTAATAGCTGAAGGAAGGAGATCGGTATATCAGATGTACTAACTGCAGATCTCTGGTTAGTTATATTGCCTCTCAGGTCCTGTATTAGTTTCCTGTGGCTATTGCAACAAATTACCACAAACCTGTTGACTTAAAACAACAGAAATTCATTCTCCCACCATTCTGGAGGCCCAAGATCTGAAATTAAGATATTGGCAGGGACAGGCTCCTTCTGAATCTTTCTGTGCCTCTGCCAGCATCTGGTGGTCTCTGGTGTTCCTTGGATTGTGGCTGCACAGCTCTAGTCTCTGCTCTGTCTTTTCACATGGCCATTTTCTTTGTGTCTCTCTGTGTTCTTTTTCTATTTCTTATAAAGATGCACTACTGTCATTGGATTTGGGGATCACCCTAATTCACCCAATATAATCTCATCTCAATCCTTACCTTAATCATATGTGAAAGGGCCCTATTCCAGATAAGGCCACATTCTGACGTTCCAGGCCAAGAAGAATTTGGGGGCAGGGAGGACTCTATAGAATCCACTCTAGAACCTGAGAACCTTCATCTAAACCATTTCTGACCCTCATTCGATGTATGTTTTTATTGGGTTCTAGATAGCACCAAACAGGAAAACTCTTCAGATAGTGCCTAACATTAGCTCAGTGTATCTGTGCAGAGGGGATCCAGGAGATCAGAGTGGAGATGCCTCATGGTGAGGCTGGAGAAGGCCTACTTCTGGAAATGAGAGGAAGGGTAAAGTAAACAAGGGAATAAGTTCTGTCTTTGAGAAAAACGGTTTGATGTGAATAGATAGAGCAGGCATTCCAGGAGCTGTGTGGCTTGAGGAGAGAACACCAGTCTTGAAATCAGACCTGGATCACTGGTTTCACTACCTGAATCCATGGGGAAGCCCATCAGAGAGTACCTGTAACCTGTTACAATGGACTCTAAAAACACTTCCCTACCCCTTCATTTCTCCTCATTAACTCATGAAAGAGGACAGGCTCTTCCTTCTGCCAGTACTAGTTCCTGGATCACTGGTTTCCCAATATCCCAACGATCCCAATATTCTCACATCGTTTAGTTATTTCGACTGCGATTTCATAGATATGTAGACAGTATGCCATTCAGTCCACCATTTGGATTCTCAGTTATTGCAACAGTGGTGTGTTGGTAAATGATTAACAACCAGATCTCTGAAAAAAGAATGTATGCATATATGTAAATGAGTGTGTTATAAATGTTGCTTATGAAAATGTATAACACACAATTTATAAAATACAATGTATATTTTAATAAAATGTACGATGCCTTTTATTGTAAATTCCATGTAGTCACAGATTCTCGCAGGCTGCTTGCTTTCATATTGGCCTAATTCATATCCACAGCCAAATGATGGTTACAATTGACAAAAGAATGTAGTTCCAACATGAATGTTGGTTAGTGTCTTTTTTCAAGTTAAAGAACTGTGAAACGACAAAACATCCGTTGCAACATCACTCGCTCATCAGTGACACTAGTGACTTTTTGCTGAGTCAGATGACTGGTTTTCAATATTGGAAAAATGTTTCCTCAGTGTTTAATGCTATTCCCTATGTAAGGGCTACAGTAATGGCACACATCTAAGTTTCCTCTGCATCATTATATTTTCTCTATTACTTTCTTACATCTACAGTCAACAAAACAATCAACTTCTGATTCACAGTGCTTGCTGATTTCCATGGGATAAACTCTCACCGTGGCCAGTGTCAAGCTCCCAACATTATACCATTGAACTCAGAGTGAGGAAGAGAGGTCCAGAAGCACCCATAATCCAGGATTTTTCCCACCATAGAGATATAAAAGATGTCGATTACCTCAAGAACATAGATATCAGTAATGTTATAAAATAACTAGGAAGCAGTGAGCTTTGAGATTTTATTCCCTCTGTTTTTAATATAATTTATTTAATTAATAAGTTTTTTTAAAGGCAGGGTTTTGCTCCGTTGCCCAGGCTGGAATGCAGTGGCTATTCACAGGCATATTAGTCCATTCTCACACTGCTATAAAAATACTACCCAACACTGGGTAATTTATAGAGGAAAATGTTTAATTGACTCAGTTTCCCACTGCCAAGGAGGACTCAGGAAACTTACAATCATGGTGGAAGGCAAAGGGGAAGCAGAGATCTTCTTCACATCACAGTAGGAGAGAGAAGTGCAGGCAAGAGCAGAAAATATGGCTTTATAAAACCATCAGATCTTGCGAGAACTCACTCACTATCATCAGAGCAGCATGGAGGGGAAGCCGCCCCCATGATCCAATCACCTGCCACTTGGTTCCTTTCTCGACACTTGGAGATTATGAGAATTACAATTTGAGATAAGGTTTGGGTGGTGACACAGGCCAAGCCACATCAATATACATGATCATGATAGTCTGTTCTCACACTGCTGTAAAGATACAACAGCCTCAAACTCTTGGGCTTAAGGGTTCCTTGTGCTTCAGCTTCCCAAGTAGATGCGACTACAGGCATGTACCACCATGCCTAATTGTAGGTTTATATAATTTAATTTTATATGTGTAATAATGGCCATGCCCTTCAAGCACCTCACAAGATTCCTGAAAATCTATTTTTTATTTTTATTAAAAAAAATTTTTTGTAGACATGATGTCTTGCTATATTGCCCAGACTATTTTCAAACTCTTCAAAGCCTCAAAGTTTCCTCCCACCTATGCCTCCAAAAGTGATGCGATTACAGGTGTGCCACTGTGCCCATCCAGATTCTTGAAAGTTTAACAATTTTATGAGTTTGTATATGCTGCCTTGAGCACACACCACCAGTGGAAAGAGTTGTGAGGAGGACAGTTGAGTTCTGGGGAAAGAAGGAAGAAAACAGTGAGGATAAAGAGCAAGTTCACATATCTCACCTACTTTCACTACCTGAATCCATGGGGAGGCCCATCAGAGAGTGCCTGTAACCTGTTACGATGGACTCTAAAAACACTTCCCTACCCCTTCATTTCTCCCTGTGAGCACTGGTTACACTTCCAGTGTCCCATTCGTATAGCTTAACTCATGAAAGAGGACAGGCTCTTCCTTCTGCTGTACTAGTTCCTTCTCCTCATGAAAAGTTAGACACAAACTCCAAAATAAAGGCAACCCCCAGAACACAGCACAGCCCCAGTTAAATTAAAATGGCTTTTATCTAAAAGACAGGCGATAACAAATGTTGACAAGGATGTGGAGTAAAGGGAACCCCTGAACGCTGTTGGTGGGAATATAAGTTAGTATAACCTCTGTGGAGAATGGTTTGGAGGTGCCTCAAAAAACTAAAAATAGAGCTACCGTATGACTCATAATCTCACTACTAGGCATATACCGAAAAGAAAAGAAATCAGTATAGAGAAGAGATGTCTGCACTCCCATGTTTATTACAGTGTTATTCACAATAGCCAAGATTGGAAGCAACCTAAGTGTCTATCACAGGTGAATGGATGGAGAAAATGTGGTACATATACACAACGGAGTACTATTCAGCTACAAAAGAATGAGATCCTGTCCTCTGCAACAACGTGGACGGAACTGAAGATCATCATGGTAAGTGAAATAAGCCAGGCACAGACAGACAAACTTTACATGTTCTCACTTAGCTACAAATTAAAACGATTGAACTCACGGACATAGAGTGGAGGGATGGTTACCAGAGGCTGAAGGGTAGTGGGGGTTGAGGAAGAAGTATGGATGGTGAATGGGTACAAAAAACAGAAAGAATGCATAAGAACTAGTATTTGATAACACAACGGAGTGACTATAGTTAATACTAATTTAATTGCACATTTAAAAATAACTAAAAATATAATTGCATTGTTTGTAACACAAAGGATAAATGTTTGAGGTGATGGATACCCCGTTTACCCTGTGTGATTATTACACATTTGCACGCCTCTATCAACGTGTCTTATATACCCCGTACATATGTATACCTATTATGTACCCACAAAAGTTAAAAATTAGAAAACAACAACAACAGCAAGGAGACTGAACTGGAGGGATGGAGCTCTGGGAGAAGATTTGTCCTACATCCCTGCCCTGGGAGGGAATCCACACACATGGAAGAAGACAACCCAGGAGCATGGGCCACTAAACTATGCCACATCGCACCACCAGGGTCACAGGGCTTCTTCCAAGTGACCTGCACTTGCCCCTCCCATCTCTCTGTGACAGTGACACCAGCACCAGACTGCACGTTGAGGTGTTATCTGAAATTACAAAATAAAACAGAAGTAAGAGGTCTATGAGCTCATCACAATGCAGTCACCTAAGTTCAGCTGTGAACTGCCACATTTCAGGAGCGGTCCACCGAAACATATTTTCTTTGCAATCCAAGAAGACTTACAGGAGAGAACTGCTCAGAGAATCTGTGACATCCAGTTCCTGGAGACAGCTAAGGAAGGAAGGAGGGGTGCCTGTTTCTGCCCAAAGCCAGGGTTTGTCTACACAGTTCCTTTCCTGGCTCCCATAGGCTAAGTGCTTGGCTTCTTGAGAAGCCTGCTTCTTGAGAACAAAAAAAAAGTGATTTAAAGCCTCATGGGAGATGAGCAATCCTCAAGACACACAGAAAAAGTCCCAGTGATACAGGAAGCGGTTCAGGAACCTGTTGGTTCCTTATACATAAATTAGACAGCAGAGGCGCACTGCATGACACAAAGCTCGCTTCTGCCTGCCGTCTGTCAGCAGCTGTCAGGCTCTGGCCAGGACCCCTTTTTTCTCCTCACTGGCTGATGGATCCCAAGAGACTCTTCTTGACCTTCGTGCTATTTCTCTCCCTGGCTTTTGAGCCAAGCTACGGAACAGGTGAGTGTTCATCTGCATGAGGTTTTGAGTCCCGTGTTAGCTGCCAGGAAGCCGCATATCTTTGTGGATGGAGAGAAGGTGCAGGGCTGGGGACAGTGCTTGCTCACCTGTACCTTAGGGACTGGCTCTGAGCTTCAACTGCCTCTTTCAAAGAGGAAGGAACATTATAAGTTCCTGGGCCCTTGGGTTTCCAACCCTCAGTCTCACCAGTTTCCAAAGAAATGATTAGCTCTAGGCCAGAGGCTCCAGTCACTTTTCTGAGCAGTTTCAGGGTGCCATGCTCTGGTAGAAGTTCTGGTTGAGTGGTTGGTTTTGCATGGGCATCCTTCTGGCAAAGACCCAGCCTAGAGAGACTGTGCTGGATGCAGTGAGCTCTGGGAGATGATTTGCCCTACATCCCTGACCTACGAGGAAATCTGTGCACATGCAGGCAGACAAAGCAATAGCATGGGTCAACAGAAGGCTTTGGCTACAGTGGGAAGAGACAGTAGAAGTGAAAACTCCAAGTCTTTGGCTGAGAACAGGCAGTGGCCACAGTGTGGTCATACTCGTAACTACTTTCTTGGAAGAGAAGGTCCAAGACAGCAAGTGGGGAGAAGTTGGGATTTCTGGAGACTAGGGCTGGTTACGGTGTGTGGGAAATGCAAATTGGGAACCCTCAGAGAGTAGTTCCGGCCAGAAGGCCAGGCGAGAGCTATTTTTGGATCTGGGCTCTGCTCCTCTTTTTCTGGCTGTCTTCTTCCCAAGGCAGACTATTGCTTTCTGTTTGGAAGTATCAGGGCTATGACAAGAGGTATTTGAGAAGGAAAAGGCCAAGCAAGAAGTGGACTTTGGGCTGCCTGTGTGAGTGGGGTGAGAAGCTCCTTCTGTTTGTTTGTTTAGACTGTGGGAGGTAGTCTGGAGCAGAAGAGATGGCATTACGGACAGCGGGGAAATCCTGAGGCCCAGGGTGTTTTAAACTTGGGATTTTCATGACCACAAATCCAATATAGACTTTTCCAGGAAAAGCCCTGAGATATGCCAGGGATGTGTCTTTTACCAGACAGCCAAATGAACAGGACTTGTTCAGCCCACTTTCTTCTGGAATCTGCAGACCTATGACTTGTACCTTCCAAGGTCTAGGAGAGGAAGAACTGGGCTCAGGGCTCAGAAACCAAATCCAGCCACTTTAAGTGGTCACAGGGAAAGCCAAGTCTCCCTTGTGGCACCCAGTTTGTGACTGCACCATTTTTGGGCACTTCTTGGTGATTGTAAGGAGTGATGGTGCTGAACTGTGAGCGGGACGTTTCCATCTCTGGCTTGCTGGCCTCTTGGACCACCTTGCCCATAGCACCTTAGGCACTGCTGACTGATAGCTACTCCTATTGAAGCTTTGGAGGTCACTGGTCAGCAAGAAGCAGCTTAGCCCCGCAAGGCAAGTCTATCCAATCGGAGGCGGCTCACTTCATTGCATGTTTTCTTTTCTGAAATAGTCACACATTTTTTTCCAGTGTTTTTATTTTTAAATGCCCACCCTTTTGTGAAACCCCAATAAAACCCAGACAGAAATGCTTCGCAAGTGGGGCAGGTTAGTCATGACAGATTTGCCCAAGCAAGAAGCTTTTGTAAAATTGGCACCCACTTCCATTCTGATTTCCACTCAGCTCGACTTCTAATTCCCAGAGTGGTAAAAATCAAAAAGTCCACATGTTCATTTCCTAAGTAAAGTGAATTTTTCATTTTCCCCAATGAGATTTTTTTCAATAGACTTTATTTTTTAGAGCAGTTTTAGGTTCGCAGAAAAATTGGGCAGAAAGAACAGAGATTTCCCATATACCCTGTGCCCCATGCATGCATAGCCCCCCCTTTATCAATATCCCCCGTCAGGGTGGTACATTTGTTATAACTGATGATCTTACCTCCATGAGTTTTTTATTCCTCCGTGCAGGTCCTCTGCACCTCCTTCACACACTCTGGGGGGAAGGTGAGGGACAAGTGCGTGGGTTCTAGACTTGGCCTAACCTTGCGTGTTTAGTGGCCCATTCTATCCCCAGATGTCAATCTAGGCACTTCTATTTCTCAAAAAAGTTCATATTGTGATGTGATGCTGTCTCCAGCACTGGACTGGAAATCGGAGTATCAGGGCTAATTGGTTGTATCCATAGATTGATTTTGAATGATCCCATTCAGCAACCATTAAGGACACATGATGTGGCAGCCACTGTGCAAGGATGCAAAGTGAGAGGAAAACAAAATGAACCACAGCCACTGGCCAGCACCTGACACTGTGTCTGTACCGAGAGCCTGTCCACAAATGTTTGTTGCATGAATAATATTAGTATATACGGCATACTTGCTCCGTACCAGGCACTGTTCTAAATGCTTTCTGTGTGTCAGTCATTTCATTTTCACACCAACCCTATATGATGTGTATGTATTATTGATATCATGACAAGTTTATAAATGAGGAAAGGGGCACAGAGTAGTTTAGCAATTTCTCTGTGCTCACATAGTTGTCTGACTCCAGAGGCTTCAATGAGTGAAACTGGACGAGCCTATTTTTGGGAAGCAGGAGTAGGGGGAATGCTAAAATTTGTATCCAGGTCCCATGGTAAAGATTAGCATGTGCGATCTACAATTGAAGCATATGAGTTGAATTGAATTGAATTGAAATAAATTGAAGTATAGAAAATTTCAAAAGGCGAAAGACTGGTAAAAATCACAGAAGCATGTAGAGGGCATATAAGAAGTATCTGACCTGGAATTTGGAAAATGCAAACTTTTTTTCATCACGCCAATGTTCATTTAAATTTTGTTAACTACCTTGTTTATTGATTATCACATCCATGAAACATGTCATGTCTATGAAATTTCAACAGTACAAACGAGTATTTAGTGAAGACTAATCTCCCTTCCATACCTCATACTGGAGACATGTATGTGTGTCTCTTGTGTGTCTTTCCAAATGTATAGGTCTTCGTGTTTGATAGATCGTAGGGTGACTATAGTTAACAGTCATCTATTGTACATACCAAAATAGCTGAAAGAGAATAATTCACATGTTCTTAGCATAAAGAAAAGAGAAATACTCAGTACATATCCCAATTACCCAGATTTGATCTTTACACATCATATGGGTGTATCACAGCTCATGTACTCTGAAAATACATACATCTATTATGTATCAATTTTTTAACATGGCAGAGAAGAACTCAAGGCTTAAAAATAAAGAGGGTGGGGACATAAAACTTATCTGGACCTTTCAGTGTCCTGGTGAAGAATACCAGCTTCCTGATGCTTTTTTCATACCATGATAATTCAATCTATAGTCATTTGTATAGGTAATTGCTCTGATCCAAACGAATAATAAAACTTTTCCCAAGAGGACCAAATGGTTACAGCCTGAACAAGGTCCCTAGGTTAAGTGCCCAAGGTGCCGGGAAGCCTGGAGTCACTATCTTCCTAAGCAGGACAGCATAAACTTGTGCCATCATTATGCAACATGCAAGAAGGAATGCGCCCCAGAACCCAGAGACGAGTCCCAGGACTTGCCGTAAAAGCCGACACATGTAAGGGACTGTCTGGCTACCGGGGAGATTTCTTTACCCACCAAAGTGTTGGAGTAAGGAGCAGACCTTTAGGAAGGGGAGTGGAGATAGCTGCGTCCTTCCCCTTTACAGGCAGGGAAAATAATCTGTGCTTGTTTCTTACCTATGGAGTGTCTGGTTATTCACATAGAACAATTAACCTTGCTTTTTATCACATCATCCTAGGGGGAAGGGAGGCTACAGCATTTACTATTCACTGTGAGTCATTTAATAAGAAAACTGACTCTAATCCAGAATATCTCATGTGCAGATTGAGAGGGAGTATTCCACAAAAATCCAACCTATCCAACCTATTTATTTGAGGCTAAGTTTTTAATATTCATTTTTATTGATTTTATCCCAAATCTGCAAACGCAGAGGTCAAGAGTTTCAAGTGTTTAGGGGGAATGACAAGTGGTCCGTTGTACCTGAAACCTAGGGTTCATATTTAAGGCACTTCCATGTCCTCAGCTGGCAAGTGGGGAAAAGGATCCCCACCACTTTCCTCCATAACATACCTCTTAGGGATGTTCTAAAGGCAAATCAGAGTTCATTCTGATTTTGGAGGGGGAAGAACTTGGACTCTGAGTTGTCATTTGCTCATAATACATTCATCCCATTCTGTTTTATTAATTCACTTGGGCAACAAGAATTTACTGAGCTCCTACTATGTCCCAGGTGGGTGTTAGGGATACTGTAATGAATAAAACAGACACAGTCCCTACTGTTGGAAGCTTATAAGAGTAAGGGATTAGAGGCATTGAATCAGAGTTGAACATGTGATGAGAGATATGAAGGAGTGCATTCGTTGTCCATTGGAAGCCTCTGGCAGGAAAACTCAACCTAAGCCAGGAGTCAGGAAAGTCTTCCCTATGAAAGAGATGTCAAAATGGAGACCAGCAGGATGGAAGTTGTTAGCTAGGCAAGTAAAGGGTGGTAATAGAGTCTAAGTCCAGGGAAGGTACATGCTAATAGACCCAGCAGTGTCAAAAAATAAAAATAGGACTTTGACTGATGGGGATACAGTTTAGAAAGCAAACCCAGACAAGTTGTCTTTTCTTTCTGAGCCTAAATTTACCAAAAGAACTGTGGGGCCCATGAGTTCTGTTCCTTCTCTACCTGAAAGAATTCTCTAGTAAGGTGCTAAAAGCGCATATGGAAGCATCAGGACTCGGCAAAAAATAGAGTTCAATAAAATTAAAAGGGTTACCATTAAGTAGAAGCCCATCTTGTGAAAGGGTTGGCTAAATCCTACTATTAATAATTTTTGGGCAAATTCCATAGACCCATGTGAATCACTCACTTTTCGAAGTTGAAGTACCCATGAAGGAAAGTGAGTTGGTGTTAAGAGCTACAAATGTTTCCTCCCAGACTCTCTTAGTAAACAAGGGCTGGCTGAATCACAGACACACTGGAAAACACTCATCAGGCAGCAGGATGTTTCAGGAGCAGGGTCGCCACTTGAGGGGTTTTATGAACCACTTTAAAGCTCCCACTTATTTTTCCACGTATGCTTAGGTGAGGGTGATCTCAAGTACCCCCTCCAGACCCCGACACTCACACACTCAGGCGTTGCGTCATTATTCTTGATGTGGGTTGTGGGGTGTAAGGGTCTCTTCCTGATGAATTTTTGGTTTCACTCCTTATGCCTGAGTATGCATAAACCACTCAGCCTCTCTCATCTGCCCCTCCCTTTTTCTCTTTCTCCTTCTATTTTCTTTCTTTTATTTTTTCTTTGATTGTTTTGGTTATTCCCTTTCTCTCTTATATCCCTCTTTCTCCTCCCCCCTGGAACTCCAAGTTCTGAAAGCAACCTGGGTGCAAAGAGCCTGCAGGGTTAGGTGGGAAAGGGTGCGTGGGACTCACTGTGGGGAGTGGTGGTGATGGGTCACGGTCTGAAAATGGGAATTTTTATTCTTTTTTTTCTTCCTATCAAAGTTGGCCTTAAACACCAACACTATGCTAGCAATTCTTAATCTTGTTTTGAATCTCAGCTCTCTTTAAGAAATGGCATTATGGATGTGCTCCCAGAGAAATATACATATGCTCATCTACACAATTTTTTATACAGAAGTTTGGAAATTCATACTTGCACTTATGGCTCTAAATTTTCTCTTGTTTCTTTATACATAGAAGTTTAGGTTCAGGATTCAAGAGGTTACTCTCTTAGGTACGATGCCTGCACTTCACGTATGTGGCCACCAAAGGGGTCACATTATTTAGACATTCAGGCATCTGTAAGTGTGGCTGGAAGAAAATCCAACATGCTTCCCAATTTATTAATGTAAAAACAGCCACCACCACAATAACTATAATGTTCCTCATCTCATCGAGCAGCAGGCGAGAGCACTCTGTTTTAAGGTTAATATATTAGCAATATTTTAAAAAACAAATGCCTAATTGCCTTTCTCACTTTTCCTTAAGAATTATGAATTTCAACCACTTGAATCCTGATTTTAGCCCAGGTAGAGTGCTTCTTCTTCTTCCTCAGTCACTGAATCTTCAATCTACTGTTAGCTGAGCTCTTTACTGAACAATGTAGGGATTTCAGGGTATTTTGGTGATGAGAATATTTTGGCCAATGTGTCCAATTTTCCAACAGCTCATCTTAGCCACAAGTCACTTGTCAAAGAGTCTCTTCTAGGTAGCTGCATTACTTAAGCTGATGGTTCTTGTACTCTTCTGACTTTCTTATCAACTAGTACAATCTGTGCTCTCTTTGAGTCATGGGCTCCTTCTTTTATGAACACTAGCTTATGGTTAAGTTCAGTTATACACACACACACACACACACACACACACATATGTTAGACAAAGCTAAATAAGAGGGTTTGGTCAGGTAATATGGTTTTCAGCATACATAATTGAACAGATGTTTATTAAACACCTCCTATGTGCCAAGCACATGGCACCTGTTGGTAGGTCCTCGGGTCAAAATGGTGAACAAAATGAAGTTCTTCCTCTTGAGGCATTTGCAATTCTAGTGGGAGAGACAAAAATGAAACAAACAAATATATAATATAAGGCAGTGGTAGTGCAGAAATAAACAGAAAGTTATTTTAGCTAGATGGTCAGAGGAGGCCTCCCAGGGGAGGATACCTAAAATAAAGTGAAAGAATGAGCTATTGGCCTGGTGCGGTGGCTCACACCTGTAATCCCAGCACTTTGGGAGGCCAAGGCAGGTGGATCACGAGGTCAGGAGTTCAAGACCAGCCTGGCCAAGATGGTGAAACCCCATCTCTACTAAAAATACGAAAATTAACGGGGTGTGATGGCAGGCACCTGTAATCCAGCTACTTGGGAAGCTGAGGCAGGAGAATTGCTTGAACCCAGGAGGTGGAGGTTGCAGTGAGCCGAGATCATGCCACTGCACTCCAGCCTGGGCAACAGAGTGAGACTGTCTCAAAAAAAAAACAAAAAAAAAAGAGAGAGAGAGAGAGAAGAGATTATCCAGAGAGAGGAACACCAAACCAAAAGCTCTGAGATAGGAACGTTCTTGGTGGGCTTAAGAAACAGCCAGGATCCCGTGTGGCCATAGCGCAGTGATCAAAGAGGAGGGCAGAAAGTGGAGTTGGAACAGTGCTGGGGACTGGGTCTGCAGGACCTTTGAAGCCATGTCAATAATATACTATGGTTTTATTCTATCAGTGCCAGAAAGCCATAAAAATGTAAAAGCAGGAGAGAGACAGAATACGACAATCTTTTCTTTTAGGTTTTAAAAGATTACTCTATTCATCATACAAATGCAGGGAGACCAGCTGGAAGAAGACGGCAGTACCCAGGCCTGGGATGATGGTGGTGGAAATGCAGGAAGTGTGAAGGGCTCAGATACCAGACATATTTTGAAGTCAGAGCCAGGAGGATTTGCTGTTAAAATGAGTGTGGAGCATGCAGAGAGAAAGGAGCCAAGAATGTTTCCAGTGTTTTGTCCTGAGAAACTGGCTGAATTGCAATGTTTGCAGAAGGTGTTTTGGAACCAAGAGTTTGTTTGCTAAGTTGGAAATGCCCTTTGGACCTCCAAGTCCTGTCTTGTGTAGGCATTTGGGAGTACAGTGAAGGGTTTGGTTGGGAGATATAACTCGGTAGCATCCCAGAAATACGGCAGACTGTGAAACTGGGTGAGAAACTGGATGAGTGTGGCTGAGGACGAGAACCCTGAGTAATGGGATGCTCCAGTATTTAGAGGTCCAGAAGAGCAGAAGTTTCCTGCCGAGAAGACTGAGTAGAGGCAGCCTACGGGATAGGAGAAAAACCGGGAGAGTATGGTGTTTCCTGAGTCAAATGAAGACAGCGTTTCAAGAAGGAATGGGTGAAATATGTCAAGTACCCCTGAGAAAGCAAGTAAGATAAGGACTTTGACTTGGCTTAGTGGAGTAGACAGTGACCTTGACAAAGGTGGTTCCAGTGAGCAGTAGGGAAGAACACCTGTTTATAGTGGGTCCAACAAAAAATGGGTCTGGACATGGGAAAAGAAATTGTAAATACACATTAAAGCCCTTTGCTGTAAAGGAAAACAGAGTAATGGAGTGGTAGCTGGGGATGGACCTGGGATCGGAGAGAGATTTTTGGTTTTTTTTTTGAGACGGAGTTTCACTCTTGTTACGCAGGCTGGAGTGCAATGGCGCGATCTCGGCTCACCACAACCTCCGCCTCCTGGGTTCAGGCAATTCTCCTGCCTCAGCCTCCTGAGTAGCTGGGATTACAGGCACGCGCCACCATGCCCTGCTAATTTTTTATATTTTTAGTAGAGACAGGGTTTCACCATGTTGACCAGGATGGACCTCGTGATCCACCCACCTCGGCCTCCCAAAGTGCTGGGATTACAGGCTTGAGCCACTGCGCCCGGCTGAGATTTTTAATATAAGGGAAACTACAAGTTAACATGCTGTGTATTGATGGAAATAACGTAGTAAAAAAACTGACAACACAGGGGACAGAGGCGATTGCTAAAACAAAGCCTTGGAGTAGGTGAGTGCTCCATGGAGGAAAAGGCTGGCCTTAAGTGGGAATGTAGACCATCCATCCAAGTAGGTAGGTTGATTTAGTGGTGGTAATAAATGGAAGTTCTCTTTTTGTTTCTTCTGTTTTATTTTTCAGTGAAACAAAAAGCAAAGCTGTCACCTAAGAGAGGAGGGGGAAGGCGGGTTGTGGGTTTGAGGAGAGAGGAGGTGTTAAATAATCAGCAGCAGGATACCTTACAGTGGTTTGAAAGGCTCTTGGTTTTTTTGGTTTTTTTTTTTAACCTTGTTGTTGGCTCAGCTTTTTTGAAAAAGAGACATGCAGTAGTATCTCACTGTCGACATTATTAACTCTCTCAGGGTGTTTTGTAGAGAGAGGATTCCACAGTTTGAACATGGGCTTTCCCCTTCCTGACTCCACATTCCTCGGATTTTTCTGTTTTTCTTATGATCTGAAATGGTTCCTGGGCTCATGAGCTCAGAATCACTTTCATTTGCTCTCCATCCTTCATCCTATACATTCAATGGTGGAAAAATCCCTGGTAGAGGATTAACAGACCTGGATTCTAGTCCTGACTCTGCCACTTACTAGTTAGGGAAGCCATTTAACTTCTCCGTGCTTTTTAGATGCCAGAACCACAAATCTGAGTTGATAAAGACCCAGTGCTCTAGTTAGTCTATACAACTCTATCCTAAGTAATTTTAAGATTTCTATTGAGAGTTTTGAAATGTTGAGAATATAGTGGGGAACCTCATGGCAGTCCTTACAGACCACAAAGGACTTGGCAACCCCAGGGATAGCCCAAGAGGAAGAGCCTCCCGCCTGTCCTTCCTGATCCACAGACACGATGTTTTCTAAAGGCCTTAATAATAAGGGACTCTCTTTTACCTCCCACAGGGGGGCGCATGATGAACTGCCCAAAGATTGTCCAGCAGTTGGGAAGTGATGTGCTGCTGCCCCTGACGCATGAAAGGATAAATACGAGCACGAACAAAAGCATCCACATTGTCGTCACAATGGCAAAATCACTGGAGAACAGTGTCGAGAACAAAATAGTGTCTCTTGATCCATCCGAAGCAGGCCCTCCACGTTACCTAAAAGACCGCTACAGGTTTTATCTGGAGAACCTGAGCCTGGCTATCCGGGAAAGCACGAAGAAGGATGAGGGGTGGTATTTTATGACCCTGGAGAAAAATATCTCAGTTCAGCGCTTCTGCCTGCATTTGAAACTTTATGGTAATAATGGCGGCTTCCCCAGTCCACACTAGAGGGGCAAAGCGCTCCTTTGACCAAGAATTTAGGTCTCTCTCAAAAGCAAAGGGTATTCAGAATTGGAAGTAACTTGAATGATCTTCTAATTCAAGGGTATTTAAACCTGTTGTTGGGAAGACGTTTTAAAGGTTGACATTTTTTTTCCAAATTGAACATTGATGGTAGCACTAGTTACTCCTACTCCCATTTCCCAAAGAAAAGGGGGCAGCTCCCTGTGGGCTGGAGGGCCTATATCTTCAAGAATCTTGGTTTGCAAATAAGATTTTATTTGAAAATAGGATTTTTTTCTGATTAAAAAAATTGAATACCACAGATGAAACCCAGCCTCTCTCATACACGCAGACACTGAAAGCTAGAGAGAAGCGGTTAGCACATTTACACACATTCATGTAGGTGTTTCACTGCACTGGGGTTCTGGATAAAGAAGGCTGAAATCCAGCCCACATGCCACTTGCTAAGCCCTGCACTCCCGCACCAGATCACACCTACCGGGTGGGAGAAGTGCCTTTTTTGCATTTAAACAAAGGCTTTGGTTATAAAGTCTGTAAGTTGCTGCACTTCAACTAGGAACCAGGTCCACCTGATTCCAAGGAGAGTGGTTTTTTGAGCCTCTTTAACTGCCTGTCCCTCTTGAGTGCACTCAGGGATTGTGTCTCTTAGACCCAGAGGCTCATCTGAATTCCCAGGGGTCCTGATAGCCATGTGGGGCTTTTCTGCTTCTTCAAAATGACATCCTTATGTCTGGGGATGGGACAGGAATTCCCACATAACCAGCATTTGTTTGAAATTCTCAAATATCTAGAGGGAAGACAGCAATACTTTCACGCGTCCTCCCTTGTCCCGGCATTTCCTTCCTTCAAACAGTCCCTGCAGAATTCCCGTGGCACTCCAACAGTGACTCCGGGGCAAGATTGCCATGAGCATGGAGGCTGCACAAGATGCATTTTCAAAACAGTGTGGATGCCATACATTCCATCCTTTTGTTCCTAGTTTCCTGTTTTTGTCACATCTGTGATCAAATTCTTACTTTGGAAAATGTGGCCTCTGCAACCATGGCATCAAGCCAAGGGAAGAGTTTGGATTTCGCAGTAAGACAGTTCTAGGTTCGGATCTTCACTTGGCCACTTAGAAGCTGGGAGATGTAAGACATTCCACCTCCCTGGGACTTGGCTTTCTCATCTGTAAAACAGGAATAATTATAACTAGAGTTATAATTGTTGAGAAGATTTAAAAAGATGGTAAATGAGCACTGTGATTGTCCTATAATAGTTGCTAAATAAGCAAGGTTTTACCTTTTAGCTGGGCTATTTCATGGCCTTAGAGTGGAATAGACTGATGAGGTCTATGGTTATAATTGAGGACCTATCTCTATCTCGGACACACAAAAGCACTTGCTACACACCCACCCACTCACCCATGAACAGGCATATGCTTGCACGCATGCACGCATGCTCACACGCATACACACACACACACCCTGCCACACCCATTACTATAGATGAAATCCCACTACTAAAAAGTCATTCTTTTAGGTCTGGGAAGTAACAACATAAGCCAATTAAAAACCATAATGGATGAGTTGACAGCAAACTCCACCGATAGGAGACAGGAGAATAGCAACCTAGGTCAAGAACATCAGTAAGGGCGAATGAAGCCCTCACAGTATTGGTGGAAGGGGCCTAAAAAGCAAATTCTTCTTTTCTATTTTATCCCAAGGTGGTCTTAGAAAGAGTGTAGCGGGCCATGAGGAATAGTGTGAAGCAATAGAGTCCCCGCTAGAAATATATCACACTGAGGGGGAGGGAGAATGCCATTAGTCTTTGTCCTAACAGAAAGGTCAAGTGAGAATTCCCAGGGGTTCATTTCAGTGATGGCTCCCTTCCTCCTACTCCTGACAGAGCAGGTCTCCACTCCAGAAATTAAAGTGTTAAACAAGACCCAGGAGAACGGGACGTGCACCTTGATACTGGGCTGCATAGTGAAGAAGGGGGACCATGTGGCTTACAGCTGGAGTGAAAAGGCTGGCACCCAACCACTGAGCCCAGCCAACAGCTCCCACCTCCTGTCCCTCACCCTCGGACCCCAGCATGCTAAAAATATCTACGTCTGCACTGTGAGCAACCCCATCAGCAACAGTTCCCAGGACTTCATTCCATGGCTCAGATGCAGGCAAGAACCCTCAGGTGAGTGTGCTGGTGGCAGCCTGTGTGCCCCCTTACTGAGCATGGGCTCAGTCTTCACCTGGCCCCGTTGCTCCCCAGCCATGGCATTCACCTTAGTGACAATACTTCACATATTCTTTATAGTTTGCAAAAGTTGTCCACGTGCTCCTTTTGGTGAGCTCACTCTCATGGTGACCAGGGTGGCATTACTATGCTCTGTTCATAGTTGAGGAAACCGACAGGAAATGATAGAGCCAAACCAAGAGCCTAAGACTCCAAGGCACAGCCTTCTTCTGTGCCTCTTTCCTTGGCTCCAACCCGCAAGGTTGGCTGGGTGAGGCGGTGTAGGTGGGAGGCCTGGCTCCCAAGTCTATGCTCTACTAATGCTGGGGCAGTTCTACACCATCAATAAGTATTTATTGATCACCTACCTGATACGAAATGGTGAATAAATATATGTGATTTCTAGCAATTCATTGTAAAGATAAGACATAAAACATTTGTTCAATAGTGAGACACAAGATATAATGAAGGGCCTCGTTTCATGGAATTGACTGTGAATCCCGTAGCAGGACCAGGAGAGTCAGAAAGAGAGACTAAGAGTTGGACTGTGAAGTTTGAGGAATAATGATAAATTGCATAGCGCTTTATCATTAGCAAAGCACTCTCGACTGCTAATCTCTTTTGATTCTCACAATAACCTTGCCAGATAGGTGTTATTATACTTTCATTTTACAGACGAGGAAATTGACGTTCATAGTATTTAAGGACCCTCCTCAAGCTTTTTAAAATTGTAAATAGTGGTGTTAGTCCCTAAACCTAAATCTTTCTTTCTCTCGAGAAAGACTGTTCTTTCTCGAGAAAGAAAAGCATTATTATTCTGTCAGCAAAAGGAAGAGAGAGCTTATTAAGTAAGCCCATCTAACAGCATAGAACACAGGCCCTTTTCACCAATAGATCTTGTGTCCCTGCCTCAGGCAGGTTCAGGGACAATAGGACCAGGGTGCTTGCTCTGCAAAGCATTGCTTACACCCTGACGTTCTCCTCTCTGCATCCACTGGGGGTTCATAGGAATCATTCCAGTGGGTCTTCTGCCCACAGGAACCATGGTGCCCATGTGGGGGGCTTTCCCAGGTGGTCATGGATGAAGGGACAGGGGAATTCAGTCAAGTAGTGCCCTTCCACATAGTGCTGCCTGTCACAGAGACTATCCTGGAGTATTCCCAGATAGACTGCTGGGAAATCCCACCTGGCCTCCTCTGTGCACCTGGGAGTGTTTTAGTGAGTCTAACCCACTGCTTATGTTTCTTCCCCAGCCATTTCATAGCCAGAGTCCCCAGTCTGTTCAGTTACTGGCTGTGTCTGGCTGCTTGTCCACCTTGCATACAAACCTCATTCAGAGGCTAATGCCCAGCTCTCCCCACCCACAGTCATTTAGAAGGTGCTGGCAGGACAATCAAGCAGGGCAGCATAGTGGGTAGCATATAGAATGTGGCCCCGGAAGTTCTAGAGCCAATGCTGCCCTCTCTGCTTACACAGGTAAGTCCCTCAACCCCTCTGAAATTTAGATTCTTCATCTATAAATAACAACAACTGGTGGGTCATTATGGTTTGCTAAGTGCCAGTTATGTGGTATCTCAGTTAATCCTCACAGCAACAAAATAATATAGACAGTATTAGTATCCCACTTCACAGATGAGGAAACAAAGTTATTGAAAGGTTAAGTAAGGCCACACACAGAGCAAGTGATGGAGCTCGGCTGTCCGATTCTGGAAGCCTTATAGGTATTGATAATGCACCTAAAATGCCTTATAAACCATAATGAAAATGTACTTTTTATTATAAAATCTACAAAAATACAATGTATTTTTAAAATTTAAATGAGGAAGCAGTAGCCCTTACCTCAGCACTGCCCTCTCTGGGTATAGCTGCCCTCTAAGAGTGCAAAGACAGGACACTGAATATTTTACCTTGGCTTATCCCAAAAAACGGGCAGAACTTTCTTCATGGTCTTCAGTGTAGTTTAGAACGAATTGAATTAGTGCATACCAAAGTGTTGGTGGGCCATGAAGCTTACACTAAGGGCACTTGGCTCAGGACGTTCTAAGAAACCACGTGAAAATTCACTTACCCATCTAAGCCACTCTGAGGACCAAATATACACCAGTGGGAACCAGATTTACTGAGTAGGAAGCAGGTTCTTATAAGGAGCGGAGGGACAGGAAGCAGTAGAAACCTGGTACCACAGGAAGGGTCCTGTCAGTTAAGAGAGCTGTCCAGCCGTTTCTCTCTCTTGGGTCTCTGTTTCATCCTCTGTAAAATGAAAAGGGCGAACAAGTGAAGTCCCTCCCAGAGTTGACAGTCCTTGATTCAGTGTGTGTGTGTGTGTGTGTGTGTGTGTGTGTGTGTGAATAAGAACACAAATAGAGGCTTGCCACCGTGTATGGGTTTGCTAAGGCTCCTGCAAGAAAGGGCTGCACACTGACTTAGTTACTTGCACAAAGGACCGAGTGACTCAGACAATCAAAACGCATTGGCTCTCGGCTGTAGATGCTAGAAGTCTAAAGTCAAGGTGTCCGCAGGATTGTCTTTCTCCGAGGGCTGTGAGAGAAGGATCTCTCCTGGGTCCCTCTCACTGGCTTATAAATGTCTGTCTTCTCCTTGTCTCTTCACGTCATCTTCCCTCTGTGTGTATTTCTGTGTATTTCGGCTTCTTCTAAGGACACCAGTCACACTGGATTAGGGCCACCTCTTTTAGTTTGCTAGGGCTGCCATAATAAAGTACAACAGATTGGGTGGTTTAAATAACAAAAATTAAATTTTCTCCCAGTTTGGGAGGCTGGAAGTTCAAGGCGAAGGTGTCGGCAGGTTCGGTTTCTTCAGACGCCTCTCTCCTTAGCTTGCGTATGGCCACCTTCTCACTGTGTCCGCACCTGGTCTCTCCTTCGTGTGCTCACACCCTGGTCTCTCTCTCTCCTCTCTCTTTTTCCTGGTGTGTCTTTGCGTGTCCACATTTCCTCTTCTTATAAGGACACCAGTCACGTTAGATTAGGGACCACCCTAATGACCTCTTTTTAACTTAATAACCTTTAAAGACCCTGTCTTCAAATACAGTCACATTCTGAGGTCCTGTAGAGCTTCCACATAGAAATTTGTGGGGAGACACAATTCAGTCCCTAACACCACCCTAATGACCTGTTTAACTCAATTAACCCTGTAAAGATCCCATTTCCAAATAAGGCCATAGTTTAAGGAAATCAACACATTAATTTGGGGAAACACAATTCCACATGTAACACAAGTAGAGACGCCTCCTCCCCGCCCTGCCAGGCTGCAGGGATTCGGGACCAGGCCCTGCCTCAGAACCAGATCACACAACTGATTTGTGGCCTGCCCTTCCCAGTATACCGAGTTGCCTAAATACTGAAAGCAGAATTTTATTAGGACATTGATTTGCATTTGCAAATGAGTAATGAATACGACCAATCCTTAAAACACTGCACTTAGTTTGACAAAACATTTACTGAGTCTCTACTATGTTCCAACATTGTGCTAGGGGCTGAGTACACAAAGACAAAAAAAACACGATCTTTGCCTTAAGGCAGAGGACAGCTGTATAAGTAAATAATGGTCCTAGATTAGACAGTGTGACTGACGTAAAACAGAAATATATGCAAGGCAACAAAGAGGAGGGAAGTATTAACACTGTCCCGGGGATTAGAGAGGGCATCCCAGAGGATGTGACATAAACTGGGTTTTAAAAATGAGTGGAAATTATCCAAGCTGATGAAAGACATTCCAGGCAGAGGGAGGAGCAGATACAATTGGGTCTTGCTCTGTATTATCTTGTAGGTGATGGGAACTAATATAGAGTTTTAGATAGAGGAGTGTCACCATCAGTCTTGCTTTTCAAAGAGAAAATCCAGTGGTATAGAGAACAGACTGGGGCAGAGAAGATGGGGAAGAAAGGGAACTGCTCTCTGGGGGCCATTATTGCAGTCATCCAGCAGAATGATGAGACCTAAGCTGAAGCAGCAATGTCAGTCAACAGAAACTTCTTTCTAGGGCGCAAAAGGGAAATTCCAGCCTTGGGATGAGGGAGTGGGGGTCTGACGGTTTGTTAGAGGTTGCTTCACCATCTGTCATCAGGACAGTGATTTTAAGACATTTTTTCATTTTCATTAATGAAAACCTCCCTGTGGTTAATAATGTGATGAGACGGAATGCAATGTGATGTCAGCACTGTCTCTTGACAGGACTCACTTAAGTTAAACAGTGCAAAAACGTCTGTTCCTTGAAATCGTTTTCTTTCAGTGACATTTGTCCAGGTCATATATTCATCTTTGCTCCAATCCCCATTTCAGTGTTTTCATCATAACGAAGCATCTTTATCGCAAAGTCCAAATCCTAGGGTGCTATGAAGTACTCTGGCTAGGTCATGTGAAGCCAGTGGATGTGGGTCAGCTCTGGACAGCGTGTGACTTGCTGCCATCCTCAGTGACTGTATGCTGAAATAGATATGCTTGTGCTAGAATGAATGAGTCTAAAAAAGAATGCCCCTGGAAGCTCATCTTGAAGAGAGGATCTTTTTCAGTAGATGAGCAAAACGCTGGCTCAGCATGTCTGAGTTAACTCAGTGAAAGAAAAGGCTGGCACCTCCCAGTGAGCTCCGGAGGCATCCCCTTTCTAACAAGGTCATTTCTTCAAATAGGGAGTTCCCATTGTTTCAGAGTCACTTAGATGTTCCAAGCACAAAGACAGGTCTCTCTCCAGGGTCTTCCCAATTTAGCGAGCCTAACAATGGTGAAAAGAAGAAACCTGGACACTTTGCACAGCTCAGAGCCTGGACATGTGGCCACACTCACTACAAGGGAAGCTGAGACACGTATCTCCTAGCTGGGCAGCTACATGCCCAGACAAGACTGTGTTACCATGAAAGCACAAGAGAAATCACATTGGAGCATAACTAGTAGCCTCTGCGATGCTGGATGGGATAGGCAGGTTGAAAGTGATTTTTTTTT